CTTAATGCATTATAAATTTAGGAGTTTAAAATTAAAACTTGTTTTAAATAAGAAATTGAATTTAAATAAGAATTGATATTGTGATGTTATAAATTAATCTTATTCAAATAAATTTGAAGTTTCAATAGCTGAACTTTTATAAATAGTTATTCGTGAGATATTTTATTTATACATCTTATTAACATATCTTAGCATCTTTATGTTTTACAGACTGGTAAGAATGCCATTTCTTTTGGAAAATTTCAGAGAAATTTTGTTACAGCTTCTACATTTAGCATTTTTTTCTTTGGCTTTAAAGTACTTTAAAATTCATGAGATTTCCATTGATTGTATTAGCAACTTTTAGAAAACCACTTTTTGAAAAACCACTTTTTAAACAATTGATTGTGATCAATGAATCGTTGGTAATTGAGGATGCTATTAAGTAATACTTGCAGCAAAGTAGAGGAGTAACATGCTCCAGGTTTTCTAGAGGATTTCTTGCTGCCCTAAATGACTTATTTAGATCTACTGGCACATAATTTGCTTATAGGGAGTAGTAATTTATTCCTTAGGAAGTAATGATATTTAGAAAAAAATGACAAAAATGCTTCATAAAGAGTCCAATTTGAATTTTCAGGAAACCCCAATTTTCAATTGTGCTAACTTACTATTTCTAGGTGCCTCATAGGTATTTTACTATTGTAAGCTTACTTTATTTAGATGCCTCTTTGGAAATTGATAGGAACATGTCATACGTATTGTAAATTTTTTTATTAATCATTATTTAGGTAGCCATTTTGTGAATTATCCAGGCCGTTTTACTTCTCTTAAGATTTTCACGTTTTCACTTATTTCACAATTCTCAAAAAAGTGGTCTCAAAGGTAATAGAAATAGAAGCCAAAATTTCTATCCTTCTGTTATTACTACTTGTTACTTAAAAGTCTGTTTGTTAAATAAGTTTATTTAGAATTGCAATGTTTTTGAATCTCTATTATTTTTTACTTTAACATTGCCATATGGCTATATTAGAGTTAGTTCACCTGTGACAGAAATAGAATTAGCAAGGTGTTGAAGAAATGTGTGAAAAAAGAGTTAAAGTGAGCTTTGTGATAAGGAAGATAGGTGGGAGTCCAGGTTCTTGGAGCTGTCCCCTTACAGACCAGGTTAGTGGCATGCCATTATTCCCTTAAAAACTTGTTTTGCTTGCATGGTGTGAGTTGGTGGTCTTGGTCCTTTTCGTTAAGAATCCATGATAAAATCAGATTTTTGTTGATCATCTTATGCTGCCGGACCGAGGATTCATTGGTAAAGAACCACTAACCTGTCCTCTCACCCCCAGGGTGTGAACGCTGAAAAGGATTAAGGCCCACTGTAGGGAAGCTTGCACTGAAGCCTGCACTGCCCTCTCGCCTGTTCTTTTCAGTTAAATAGAAGAAGATTTTTGGTTCCCATGAATATCAATCTGGTGCTTTTCATAAGCACCAAATTCTTTTAATAAGATCACTTATTTTTAGAAATCCACTGGGCTAGAATACTGAAAAAGGATTTTTTTTTTTTTTTTTGGTATTTTGTGTTGACAGATCCTGTACATACTAATTTTTTTCGATGCACATTAATTTGCTTTAATTATTGAATTTGGTGATGGATACAAACTTCTAAAAAATCAAGAACAAATTTTTATATGGCTAGGTTTGCTTGTCTAGTAGTAATTATAGAGTTTGGCAGTGTTAAATCTTATATTTCTTTAGAAATAGCTATCTAACAACACTGTGGACATAAACTCTTTGATTTCTAGGTGACTGCAATTATGAGGTGCTTTCTCTTCCTGTTTAAAGACTTTTAAATAGCTTTTACAAATGCTGAGATGTATATTTTTTCAATATTTGCTAAATTGATGTTGTATTTGATCTTGAAAATATATTTTGATTTTGTTAGCTAAAATAAGTACAGAATATTAACCATTCTTGGTAGTTAAAGCTTTATTTTTCCATTTAATTTGAGCTTTTGTTGTTATTAACAAATCATTTGTGGCACAGTTTCTTGCTCCCTTTTTCCTTCCTTCCTTCCTTCCCTCCTTCCCTCCTTTCTTCCTTCCTTCCTTCCTTCCTTCCTTCCTTCCTTCCTTTCTTTCTTTCTTTCTTTCTTTCTTTCTTTCTTTCTTTCTTTCTTTCTTTCTTTCTCCTTTTTCAAATGACTGCTAAGAATCTATATACTTGTCACCTTAGTGTCCTAGAAATGTTCCACTTAGATCAAGGGTTCCTTTCTGGTTTTGTATGTTCTCACCTGCTCCTCACTGTAAATCATTGAGATGTCAAGTGCAGTGATTAATTAAGCTGCACGTGCAAGTGCTTTTTTTCACCTGTCAAGCAGGAAAGAAGTCTTATCGCAAGATTAGATGTTGCTAATTCACAGTTTTTTCTCCAGATTGTCTAAGTACGTAGAAATATTTTATATTTAGATGCTTATTCAGAATACGGCATACCAGGGTTTGTTTGCTTTAGAATTCTTAAATGTCGTAAGATACAATTATTATACCAAACCCTATCATTAAACTCCTAATTAGAGGCAAAGAGTCAATTCAGAATTCCTACATAAATATTTTGGAATTTCAGGCTCATACTTTGTAATTTACCTTTTATCCAAAAACTGCTAGTTGATGTCAGTTATTTAAAGTAACTACTTTCAAGTTTCTAAATTAATTTTGTGTGCATCATATACACCATGAGATCCATTCCTAATGAGATCCATTCTCGCTATAGTATAGCATAGGTTTAAATTTGTGATGAAATGATGTTGATGGTATCTACACTTTCTTTTTTTGCGCAATGAATATTTACTGAATGTAATGTTAAGCTTTTACTTTTTATACATTGATAGAAAACAACGGACTCGGAAAGCTTGTTCTCTCCTCCCTAGTTATTTCATTCTCCTCCCCCTGTTTTAAACATCAGTAAAAGTAAAACCTCAAATTGTATAGTAATCTTAATCTATTATTAAAAAGTCCTAGAAAGGAAGATTACAAGGTAGATTCAGGTCTTGAATCGGTTTGCCATTGGTTTAGCAGCGGGTGGGCAGGCAGATGCCTGCTCAGAGTAGAACCTATTGCCATTTTTCACCATTGATAGAGTAGCCTTTCAGAGTCAATGAGCTCTGTCAATGTGAGCTTGTCAAGGCTACAACTTCATAGACCTGAGAGGCGGTTTGAGAGGTCAGCCCTTTTCAGGTTCGCTGTGATGCAAATGAACTTTAATGCTTAAACAACTATTGGAATTTTTATGTCTGCTCCTTGTTCTTTTTTCTTCACAAAGTCATTGACGAGACATTCAGTGCTTTTTAAATTGGAAGTTGCATTGTGCTAAAGACCTAGTACAGATTTACGGAGGGCTGAAAGCAGTTAGATCATGTTCTTTTCATGGTGCGATTAGAATCAAATCGATTTCCCTACAGCCTTCAGCATTCAGATGGCAATTTTAACAAAGCTTGGGGGCTAGACAAGGGACAAAACGACTGAACTGAATGTTAATTACACTCTGCAGCCTTATTTTCTTTTGATTTGGGGCTGACTGGCAACTAAATTAACAAAAAGTGTGACCATAACTGCTGCCCTATTTTCATTTAAAAGGAGAGCTGCCTCTAAAAGGCTATCTTTACAAAGAAACAAGTGAGGTCTGCTGATCATTGTTAACAAGGGCACTTTTTTCCTTTAAAATTCTTGCCAAAAAAAAAAAAAAAAAAAAAAACCCACACAACTGTTAAAAAAAAAAAAAAAAAAAAAAACCCACACAACTGTTAAAAAAAAAAAGTAATGTAATAAATTAGTCATTGGCGTATTATTGCTCAGAGTTAGGTGATTTTCTGATTCTTAGGACATAAGCTTGGAGAAAATAGTAATAGTGGGTAACTCATTGGTAGCTATGAATTATAATTGGCACCTATGTGACTAGTGTAACGTTAGTATGTACAACATGCTAAAAGGTAATGTGGTAACTTAGGTTACTGTATATACTTTAAATATTAACCATTTATTCTGTGACAAACTATTGAAAACCAGCTTGATCCTAACAATTTTTCACCTTGCTCATCCTTGCTTGACCTGCAGATTTTCATATTTGATTCTTAGTAGTCGTTTAGTTGTGCACATTAATAGCGCTGGGTGCTTTTTTTCCTTCCCTTGCAAGGAAGCTGCAGCTGCACCAAGTTGCAGTTGCTTCTGGTGGCAGCACCGTCCCTTTTGCACCTGCAGCTGTGTCAGTCTCATCCTAACACCTGGCATCATGAATTATCCTCTCCTTTATTCACACGTCCAGGCAAGACACGTTTCATGCCGCATGGTGTATATTGCAAAAATCAAGTGAACTTAAACATAAATTTTTCAGTTGATTCCTTGAGCAGCTAGTAGTATTGATTTAAACTTTTGATTTTAATAATCACTTTTGTTGGTTTATATACAGTTTTGCCTCTGCTTGAAAATCTTTGTGGAATAATTAATAAACTAGCTTTTAAATTTGGACATTATTTTTTAAGTGTGATGTAAAAGTTTGTTTTGATAGCTGGTTGATTTTTTATTAATTTTTAATTATTTTCTTTTTGATTTTACCCTAAAGTCTTTTGTATTTTGTTAACTGATATTTAGATAACTTGTTTTAAAATCGATATGAAGGAACTTTCATCACTAAATACCGCAAAAATATTTTTGAAAGAAACGGGGATTAAAATGTATATCACTTGGTAGATTACATTAGCTTTTTAGACGTTGGCAGTTTTAAACCAGAAGCTAGTAATTTTGAAACGGTTAAAAAAAGATACAGTGCTAGAGAATAAAGCCATATCTTTATTAAAATAGAGTACTACTTCTGGTCAGGTTACTATGCAGTACGAAAATGCTGAAAGTGTTCTAGACTACCATGTACTCAGTCACTGTCTTCTTACCTCTCTCCTTTTCACACAAAAAACAGCTGCAAAACAAAGTTTTTCTAAAACCAGTCAAGAGTAAACTTTTTTCTCATTTGTCTTCCAGACACGAAGATCGATTGAGAAGTTATTAGAATGGGAAAACAATAGGTTATACCACAAGGTGAGTACCGCAGGGAGCAGCTTCGTACTGTTGGGGTCTGAATTGCACAGTATGGAAACAGATGCTTTTGTTGAACTAAAAATATGAAAGGTGGACAAATGGGTTAGTCTGTGCGCTGCAATAAAACAGAGCTCATTTTTCTTCTTTTACTCTCCCACTTGTCTAGCTGTGCTTGCACTGGAGACTGAGCAAAAGGAAATGTGAAACGAATAACATGATGGAATATGTAAGTTAAAGGGCTGTTTTGTGAGTTTCTCTATTAAATGATCATTTATTTTGCTTCTGATCTTATTCTTTCCATGATTATTAATCAGCAAAGGTGTCAGGAGCTTAATCTCCTGAGTGCAAGGATTTTCTACGGTTCACAGATGCGTGGTTTCATGTGCAGGACTGATTTATAAAGTTATGAATGACTTGAGAACAAGGCTTCACTGTGTTCTGAAAAATAATAAATTAATTGCCAAGATAAAATAGCCTGAACGTGTGTTGATGGAGTGTGAAATTTTAGATGCTGTATAAAGAATAACCACAACTTTGGTTACGCAGCAAGTCAGATATGGCTTTTTTATATAATGCTAATCAAGTTTCCAAGTATGGAAGAAAACCTTTCAACCAAGCCGTCGGAGCTTAAGAAACCTTTAGCCTTTATAGATTTTAACTGCCCATACCTCAGTGGCCTTTAAAGAATCTTTAAAAATGTTATTAGAATATTGTTTTGTAAAAATTATCTTAGAGGGAAGGCAGGAGGTGAGATGTTGCTCATCCTGTATTCTTTAAAAGACATCTAAGTGGTGCATGTATACAATGAATTTGAAAATTTATTCAGTATGGGATTTAACTTACTGACTCCTTGATTTTACTTGAGCGATTTTCCTTGTACAAAGTTGAAAATACTGTAGAAAATCATGAATTTTTATTTACTCTCCCTTGAGCTTGAGTGCTTTATTTTAAGTATGGAAAGGTTATTATATTGAAAGAAAAAGATTTGTGAAGGGTTAACTGTTGAAAATTAAAGTCCTAGTCTTTGTGAAGTACCAGGCACATTTCTGACAAATTTTGTCTATTCTTTGAAACAGTACAGCCATCATAGATAGTGTAGATTTGTGTGTGCATGTGTGAGAGAGTCTGTGTGTGGCTAAGAGATTGATTAAAACAGTGCTTAAATAGTTGCAAATTATCATAAAATCATTTTTCTCTGTAGCGTTTTCCCTTTCTTTCATTATCATACAGTCAAATCCCATTTCTAACCTTGAACAGAAAAGACATCTTAAAAATGTCTTTTCAGTGAATCAAAAACGTAGATTTTATCATTATTTAGTATAGCAGACATGTTAATGTATGATGATGTGAAAGTCACTTGATACTTTTTTATTAAAAAAAGTACATTCCAGTAACTCGTTTTGAGATTGACCTGTGAAAATGTTGGTCTTGTGCTCTCATGATGGTAAGAGAGTTTATGTATCTTGTGAGGAGGGATGAATATGTAGATTTAAAGGCTTTTGTGAAAAAATACTTGCTATATTTATAAACCCAAATAGTAGTGAATTTCTAAATTGACTTTCAAAAGTAAAACATAAAAGTTATTCCCAATGCTGTTATTTCCAGATAGAGCTATAAGAAAGTCATCCATTCATAAAATGTACTCATTATATTCATGCTTATTTTTATGACATATTTTATTAACTAAAAATAATTTACTAACCTTCCAAAACATTCTGAACTATGTGCTTTGTTTGTAAAATAGTTTAATTTATTACAAATTTTTAGATAAACACTTTTCCTCTAAAGCCATATTATTCTTACACCATCATAGGAGATACCCAGAAGAGTAGTAAAAAGGAAAAAAAAACAGGGATGCCTGGCTGGCTCAGTCAGTAGATCATATAGGACTCTTGATCTCGGGGTTGTGGGTTCAAGCCCCATGTTGGGTATAGAGATTACTTAAAAATACAAATTTTGTTTTTAAACAAGGAAAAATACAGGAAAATTGCTACAAAATGTATTTTTTTCTAAATTTTCTCACAGTACGTGTCATTTGTGATAGTCGCATGGTGGAATAACATAATTTCAAAAACTCCCTAAGAAATAATTTTAAAAAGTTAAGATAGCACAATAATTAGTAAGAAGAGAGTGCTTTGTTTTTCTAATGAATTGGGCCTTTTTACCACAGCTTTCTCTTTGACCTTAGCTTTTCTTTAACTTACAGAAATTTCATTTGTTAGTTAAAAGAAAAGAATTCTCCTCGGTTATATTTTGAATATTGGGGACAATCTGGAAAAAAATAAACTTGATACCAACTTTTATCCAGATGCAGTAGAAGAAATAAGACAAGTGGCCAGTTTCTGTGTGTGACTCTGAAGGAAAAGAATTTCTAGGATATATTTTTTGGAAACCAGTAATAATTGACGTGTAGTCAAAGATAGCTTTTATTTTGTATTACGTACTTGTAGTATGTAATGTAATGCCTACACCTAAGACCTGAAATTATAAAAACTGCTTGATGAGGACATGTTTGAAATATAGAAGTATTTATTGAATGTTGACTCATAAGTTGTTAAACCTCAAATCAGGTAGTTTAATCATCAGATTTTAGAGCTGCACAGAATTTTGTCATCTAGTCCAGTCCCTTTATTTAATATGAGGAAACTGAGAAACAGGGGAATCTAGCTCAAATAAGAAAGCTAGACAGGAAGCTAGTGGACATTTTGTCAGCAAATAACAGGTCAGAGAGTGGCACCTAAGGCTTATTAGTATGAGATAACCAAAGTAGCGGAGGAATATTTTTGAGCTGTATGTGGAAGAGCCTTCTTTATTGAGGCAGATCAAAAGTCAAGAGAAATGAATAGTGAAAATGAATGTTTCTGGCCTATTTGGCTAAATGTACAAGAGTGTCCAAACCTGGAGGTTACATCAGGACAAGTTTGTGAAAGAAAAAATGAGGAGTTGACCAAACTTGGAAGCTGTTCAAGTAATGTTTTGTTTAGCATCTATTTCATACAGAGTTGGAACAAGGGAAAGAATTGATTGTAATTTAAAGCAGCTCAAGATTGGAATAAAAATTAGCTCTAGTCAACTTGTGTTTTTCTGTGTTACTGTGTTTTGTTTTTATTGGTTTTCCTAGTAAAAGGTCTTTTGGAACAAATTTAACCTTTAATTTTGCTAACCTAGGAAGAAAAGGGCTTCTGAAAAAATTAAGAGATCCTTTATCAAGAGATCCACATATCCTGGTACAGTAAAGTGAGAGCAAATCTAGAACCTAAAGACCCATGGAACTGGGTTAGGTACAAAAGAGGAAGCCTGAAGAAATAAATATTGGGTTGGCTGCAACCACATGGTGCAGTAGAAAGGGCAAGGCTTAGGAGTTAAGATAGCCCTTTGTTCAAGTATTGACTCCACAGTCCATGATGTTATACTTCTTGGATCATCGCTGTCCTCATCTGTAAAATGAGGATGCTAATACTTGCCTCGTAGAAAAGTTGTTGGGATTAAATAGATGGGTAGAGTATGAAACACTTGGTATGGAGTCCAGTTCTCATCCCATGACTGCTAGCTCTGGCTCCCTTTTCTTGTCACGCATGCATGCATTCTCCGTCAGAGGCAGCGAAATTGCTGTGAGCGACGGACTAGAATTGAACGTTTTTAAGATAAAGATGTACTTAAATCTTTTTAAAACTTTTTTCTCTCCCTCTACAGGTCATCCTCATAGAATTTTTACCAAAGACACCGATTTTTCGACCAGATTAGCATTCACTTTATTTATAGAGACTTTCCAAGTATGTTGTCTTTCCAATGGTGCCTTGCTTGGTGCTCTCCTGGTGGTGACATAACATTGGTTCTACAGAATCGTGTGGTGTTTTGTTTTTTTGTTTTTTTTTTTCTGTTTTTGTTTTTTTAAATAACCGCATGTTCTAAGTGTGCATTTTTGTCAAACTTTGCAACAGTTATTTCATACAGATGTTTAATACTTAAGTTATTGTGCTCTTTTCTGTTATGTATTCTGATTTTCAAGGATTACTTTTTTGTATTATCGAAAAAATACATTTGAACTTAGCATAAAAAGTGGCCAGCCTTTTTTATTTTATCACCAAGGTACACACACAGTCCTCTATTTATTAATTCCATAATATAGAAGAACACTTTTGTAAGCCTCTACTTATCTATTCCAAGCACACTCTTTGTATTATTTTTCTTCCTTTTAAAATTTAAAATAGTTATTGTTTTAAAATAGTAAGTTTTCTTTAATAGCTTTTTGGAATCTAACATATCCTTTTCCATACAATTCCTAATGCTCTGTTTACAGCAGAAATATCTGTTACGTTATGAAGACCTATCAACAAATTTTGAAAGTGTTTCTGTCTTCAGAGGTAGTAAGGCAGTATTAAATTATTTTTAATAGAATAGACAAATAATGAATGGTATGCATGCACCTAATGGTTACTAGAGCTCAGGATCACAAAATATAGTAGCATTACAATCTGTGTATATTTTTGATCAAGATGATAATAATGGCCTTACTTGCGTTATTTTTTATTGTTTATCAAATCTTCTATAGAAAAGTATGGAAATACTCCTTTTAAAAATTTCTAAGGAAAATACTTCTCCCAATCTAACATAATTGTAGAATGGATATATGTTTCTGAAAAGTTTTTGGAAGAAAGCAAAAGTTCTAGAATTAAAAGTAAGCTGGTGTTTAAATACCCCATTGATACTTAGAACAGATTACTATTGCTAAGAAACGGAGGACCTATTTAGTACTGTTTTTATCCACTAGTTTGCTTTCAGTCCAGTTATGTATACTTTTTTGACTGAGAATGCGACATGTAAGTTTGAATCAGATTAACATATTTCTTCTAAATATATACAAATATACATATCCCCCCCCCTTTTGGTTGTACATATCTCCATGCATTTTAAAACTTTCTAAATTTCTGAATGGCCTATGTGTAAATTTTTGTTTTTATAAACCTGAAATTATACAAGTTTTAATGTGTGTCAAGAACTTGTTCCATTCAACTGTGGTATCTAGCAATAATGTGAATAACTTTTGAAATTATATAAACTATGCTTACTAATTTGTATTAAGAATTGGTACCACTATACAGTATCTTTTCTCCTTGTATTAAATCTTTTAAATACCAGTTTCTTTAATTTATATACCTGTATTTTTTAAAAGTATTTCTCTGTACTTCTCCAGAGTACTGTAATTGTATATAAATTTGAATAGTTGGAGTCTAGAATCTTATATCCTATATCCTATATTGGACATTAGGAACTATCTTAAAAACTAGGGTGTTGTTTTTGTTTTTTGTCTGAGAATGATTTGTTTCCATTGCCCCCCAAAACACTTTTCCTGCGAAGAGTTCAGAGTACAAAGATTCAAACACTTCTTTCTCGCTTTATTGACTTCATGTCCAGGGCATGTCCTACCACATTAAAGTAGTGGAACTAAAAGGGAATGCTACTCAAAAACTAGTATTCCTGTATGGTTTCAGTGTGAAAAAGTATTAAGTGGAGAAGGCTGACTGCCTCAGGATTCAGAAAGAACAGAAAAATACATATGTAGACACTGCAACACGTCTACATATTTTAGGTATTCCATATCAAAAATTTTGTAAATTTGTAGAGTACCATATTGATCAGCTTTATAGGAAGAACTATACCTATTTAGACATAATTTTTTTCTCCTGTTATTAGTCTTCTGGAAATTATAATTTTAAAATTATTCCCATAAGAATATTTTAACAGTAAGATAATATTCATAGTTGACAATATTTAGGAATAGGATTTTTTCAAGCTTTTCTGATTTTGAGAAGTATGTCAGTTGCTTTAAGGTTCCCTAGAAATATGCACTCTCATATTTTTAATGTGTGTGTAGAAAAGAACGATGAATGATTAATATGTGGCATCACCATTAGCCAGTTATACCTTGAGCAGTTCCATTTCCCCGTTCGGCTTTTCGTTATTAGCTCCCGCGGAGCCCTCTGGCTTATCTTTTCTTGATTCATGAATCTAAGGGCCCATGTTACTAGAAGCTGAAATGTCAGAGATGCATATGTTGTGTGAACATTAGCCCAAAGGAAATATTTAAAATGGTAGTTGTTCTTCGGTTCCTATTTTCTGACTTAAAGTTCCTGAGACATAAACTATAGGTACTTTTTAAGTTGGCCAAGAAAAGGTATTATTGGCAGAAAATCTAATGTGTAGATTTTACATAGGCTAAGTGAATAACTGTGATCCTTGTTTATGTATGATTGGCATTTTACAGGTAGTCCATCATTCTTGTGTGGAAACATTTACTTTGCAAAGCTTATTATATTTTAATACATGACTACAATATAACTGGGTTAAAACGTATACTCTAAAACCTAATGACTATAGTAAAACTCAAGTGACACAGTTAGCTTCTAAGGCAGATACTGGCCCCGCTCACAAGAGGGTCACCTTACCTATAGCAAATGGTCATCAGATGCTTTATTAAGACTCTTCAATGACTAGGTTCCATTCATTTGAAATTCAAACATACAATTTTGGCCAAAAATCAGGAAGTGTTCAAACCTTTAATAGTAAGCAATGATTCCCTTTTCTTACTAGAAAAAGTACTTTTATAATTGAACAGTTTTGGAGCGGGAAGAACTACAAATTTCTCCATGGTTGTGTTCTCAATGTTATTTGCAGACGACTTCTGATTGCTTCTTTATACTAGTAGACACAGGCAAACTGTGTAAAACTTTGACAACATTCCATATCCATCTTTGGTTATAAAAGAATGATATTAATAGTGACAGGTACAGCTGGATTCACCGTTGCATGTGTTCAAACTACAGTAGTCTTACATAACATTATGTACATAGACTGTTTCCACTTTTATGGTATTCTGCTTTACAGTTACAACCTTGAGCTGCATGCCTGATTTTCACTGTAAATATTTGCTTTGGCTCGGCTGTTGGTCAGCAGTACTAAATCAGAAGTACAACCTGTTTAAAAAACTGTCTTTGACTGAATTCCAGCATCTAGTCCTGGACCCTGTTTCCTTCTCTTGTCCTATCCTACTGAAGTACCGTGGGTCCTTTTGCTGCCCTCTCGATGTCCAGGTGTCCATGGACAGAGTTTACCATGCCTCTGTCTTCCTTCCCCAGTACAAATGGTAATTCTTTTGCGTTCTTGGCTAGGTGTTTAGAAGGCCAATTAAATTGAGTTAGTCACATTAAGTGATTAATGGCTGACTCTCTCAATTCTGCTAAGATGGTACTTGAATTTAAAAAATTTCCTGACTTAAGTTTCCCATTGTTGCAGTGGTACAATTGGTATTTCCCTTTTCATCAGACTATCAGTCCAGACTCTGCAAGGATGGTTGCAAGTGGGGCTTCTCAAACCACCATTCCTGAAGAAAGCTGATTTATTCATAGAGTATTAGAAAGAAGAGGCTCAAGGCCAATCCTTTTTTTTAATATATATATATTTTTTTAATGTTTACTTTTGAGAGACAGAGCGGGTGTGGGGGAGGGGCAGAGAGAGGGAGATCTAGAATCCGAAACAGGCTCCAGGCTCTGAGCTGTTAGCACGGAGCCCAATGCGGGGCTCGAACTCACGAATGATGAGATCATGACCTGAGCCCAAGTCGGATGCTTAGCCGACTGAGCTACCCAGGCGCCCTAAGGCCAGTCCTAAACCAGACTGTTAATCATCCCATAATAGTTGTGCTTAAATATACTTTTAGATATAATAGCCAACTTTATGTTATGTTAAGGAACATACCTTTTATTTAAGTTGAAATTTCAAGGTGATTAGTCTTTAAGGCTTATTATCGTGTTCTGTACTTTTACAGAGATTTTTAGGTAGTAACAAAAGAGAAGCTTAAATATTGTTTATATTGTGAGTCATAATTCTGTGCACTTGTTTCTGTAATCGGGGAGCAATACTGCCCTTCCTCCCACCATGGTAAATTGAAACAGCAGAGGCTGATTGTAGCCTTAATAGACAGTACTGAAAGCAGAAATTCAGAGTGCTAATCCTGATTTTGAATTTATTTCTGATGTGCTGCAAAATCATCAGATTACTTGGCTTCTTTGCATTTATTTTCATTTCCACAAAAGGAAGATACTATGACTACCTCATATTTTTAAGTCATTTATTTTGCTTTTATTTACTAAATCCTATATAAAAGTACGTAGCTAGATGTTCAATAGTAACGAATGAGTAGCTTTTTGATTGAGTTACAAAGTCAGCAGAAATTTGAGTTACTGTCCAATTTTGCATTTAAAATTAAAGAGTTAGAGTGAGTACTCCTTATATATACAGTAATGATTTGCATGTTTAAAAATCACAGAGACATTAAATATAATACTTGAGAAAGGTTTCTTTCTAATAAGACCCTTTAAGATAATAGGTACATCTCAGATACTTGAGCAAAACCATGCCCCCCCTTTAGTGACGTTTCCTCTACTTCATAAAACATGGTGCTCGGAATTTGAGAGTTGAGTGCTTTTTTCTCTGTATGAAAGATAATAAATTGCTTTCCTAGCTCTTTGTCAGAAATATTTCAGTAAACTATACCAGGCATTCTTAATTTGGGCAGATAAGCCAACATTTTATTTTTAAAGAAAGTCAACCAGCCTTTAAGAGAAGACAAGTAATGGATCAGTGTTTTGGCTACTCTTCTGGACCATAATACATCCTCAAACTGCAGATTTCCTCCTATTATCTTTCCTGCCGGTTTGTAATTTAGTATAGCTGGTTCCAGTTCTTTCTTGACACAAATACTATACAGATTTAAAATGTTCTAGAAGGAAAGAGCATTCTGTTCTCTCAAGAAACCTTTGGCACTAATACAAAGACCACCTCCTTCTTTATCTTCTAGTAGCAGCTTATTTAATTAGGTTAATTGCAACAATCTCCTTGCATTGCTCT